TGTCCTACTGTTGTGGTTAGCAGTGTAGTTGGGGTAGTTATATAGTTGGGTAAATTCATCCTTTAATTATGTCTCGTTTAACACAACGAATGAAAATCTATAGTTTGCCGCCTGCAGTTAGGCATTAACATCACTATGATGCCTGTTTATGAGACCTTACATGTAAGTTAATTAGTGATACATTATGGTGATTTGCACATAATTTGTTAGCAAATTTTGCTGTGTAACACTTGCAGATATAGTTAATAAAGAGCGAATTATCATAGAGACAACATAAGGGGTTTAATTCAGGGTCTTTGCTTGACTGCATTCAGAAAGCTGACTGGAGTGAGAAATAAACTTATCTCTAAAAAAATACACTTTACAAACATAATAGTTAATTAATAATGTAAGTAACATAAGAGGACGGGAAATAACACTTAATAGTAAAAAGTAACTGGACAATAAAAACATATAATGCTACTTAAAATATATTTTATAATTGTTTCGGGGGGACAGGAAGCCAGCGTCTATTCAAACAAACGCTGGTAACACGTATTCATACACACGCTGGTAGCACGTATTCATACACACGCTAGTAGCACGTATTCATACACACGCTGGTAGCACGTATTCATACACACGCTGGTAGCACGTATTCATACACACGCTGGTAACACGTATTCATACACACGCTGGTAGCACGTATTCATACACACGCTGGTAACACGTATTCATACACACGCTGGTAACACGTATTCATACACACGCTGGTAACACGTATTCATACACACGCTGGTAGCACGTATTCATACACACGCTGGTAGCACGTATTCATACACACGCTGGTAACACGTATTCATACACACGCTGGTAACACGTATTCATACACACGCTGGTAGCACGTATTCATACACACGCTGGTAACACGTATTCATACACACGCTGGTAACACGTATTCATACACACGCTGTTAACATTGTATTAACAAAGCTGTAACAATAGTAACATTGTGAGAGAGAGAGAGAGAGAGAGAAGATTAAGCCACCCAAAAGGTGGCTTGGGCATGAATAGCCCATAAGTGGTGGCCCTTTTGAGCCATTTTCAGTATCAATAGATGATACTGGAGATCTGTGGAGGTGCGACTGCACACTGCGTGACGGGAGATGTCTCCCGTGAGTAACATTGTGTTAACTAAGCTGTAACAATAGTAACATTGTGTTAACTAAGCTGTGGCGCGGGTCAAGTTGTTCTGAGAGACCATATAGGGAAAATTTCTGTTTTTCTTAAGGTTTTCCTCATTTGATATTTCAAGTGTTCGTGTGCTTATTGTCTTGGTTTGTCTTACCTTATCTTCAACATGACATTGGGTGATCTTTCTGTGGTTTGGCTTCCGGACTTGACGTGGACGGCGGAAGAGTTTCGGTCTTTTCCTGGTCAAGCTCTTGTTGACTTGACTTGTACACCTTGTGAATCAAAGAGACTGAGCGCGGATGGCTGCATTCACGCCAGAGAGACTGGCCCCCAGTGAGCGCAGATGGCAGCCCATCACCCCAGAGAGGCTGACCCCCAGTGAGCGCAGATGGCAGCCCATCACGCCACAGAGGCTGGCCCCCAGTGAGCGCGGACGGCAGCCCATCACGCCAGAGAGACTGGCCCCCAGTGAGCGCAGATGGCAGCCCATCACCCCAGAGAGGCTGACCCCCAGTGAGCGCAGATGGCAGCCCATCACCCCAGAGAGGCTGGCCCCCAGTGAGCGCGGACGGCAGCCCATCACCCCAGAGAGGCTGGCCCCCAGTGAGCGCGGACGGCAGCCCATCACGCCAGAGAGGCTGGCCCCCAGTGAGCGCGGACGGCAGCCCATCACGCCAGAGAGACTGGCCCCCAGTGAGCGCAGATGGCAGCCCATCACGCCAGAGAGACTGGCCCCCAGTGAGCGCAGATGGCAGCCCATCACGCCACAGAGGCTGGCCCCCAGTGAGCGCGGACGGCAGCCCATCACGCCACAGAGGCTGGCCCCCGGTGAGCACGGAGGGCAGCCCGTCAATAACCAAGGTGCCCCCGGAGGCGACGGAGAGGCCGCTGGCGCCTGCCGGAGCCTCGCCATTGTCCTGAGACTCTCCTACATAAACATGAAGCTCCATTAACATGTCGCTAACTATTAACATGATAAATACTCAACCACCAGGGCCAGCCGACGCCTGCAGTGTGCGGGGCCAACATAGTGCTAAATGCGAAGGTGCATAAGGCTCAATTTCTCAACGAGCGGCAGTGAATCAGGATCTTGTTGCTTCGGGGGCTATGTCGGTGGTATATGTTGCCTGCTCGGAATGAATTGACATGGTCAACTTTATAAATGCCGGAATGAAGCGGAAAATCAATTGTTGCCACAGGGGGGTTAAGTCATCTATACTTGCATGAGTAAGACACCTGCGCTTCCATGGTCAAGACATCTGTGGTCACAGGGGGGTTAAGTCATCTATACTTGCATGAGTAAGACACCTGCGCTTCCATGGTCAAGACATTTGTGGTCACAGGGGGGTTAAGTCATCTATACTTGCATGAGTAAGACACCTGCGCTTCCATGGCCAAGATATCTACGTTTGCATGGCCAAGACACCTTTATTTCTTGGATTTCTTTCATTCTATGAGGGCGGATCTCATAGAAACCTTCAAAAGACTAAACAATTTGGACGATGTCGATCCGGACACTTTCTTCTTCAGGTCAGATGTAACACGAACGAGAAGCAACGGGTTCAAGCTCAACAAGCCACAATATAGGACAGAAAACAGATGTTTTTTCACCCATAGTAAACCCATGGAACCGCCTACCCGCCGAAGTCGTAAACGCCAAAATTCTGCTGGGTTTTAAAATACAGATAGAACAGATCATCAGGGCAAATGGGGGGGACCTCTGACAAGTCGCCAGCTTCCTGTCCTCGTCGAGGCCACTATTATTAGTGGCCCTCAGGAAAATTCAGGTAAATTTCGTGGGCAAGACACCTGTGCTCACATAGACAACGCACCTGCGCATACATGGTCAAGACACCTGTACTTACGACGGTGGGATGATGGGGAAATAGCCTCGGCTACCATCATCTTTTGTCCGGTCGTGATGTACACTAGTTGCATAGTGCTCCTGGCAGTATGGGTTCGAGTCCCTTCTGGATCGCCACACTGAGGCGCTGAAACAAAATACTGGCAGCTCTTGGATCCCTGGTGACGTCAATGAGCTTGGAGCCCAATTCCTTGAGAAATCCCAAGGCACTCTTGCCCCAGGGGCCATGCGTCTCAGACGCTATGGGAACAAAGATGTGTTGACCTTACAATCGCCTGTATTTGACTGATTTTGCTATTTCCCTGTGGTTGGCCGCCCCACCTGCTTGATCAACACCGAAGTGTACATAGGTATCAGCCAGTGTGGATACACACGTATAGTCCCACACCAAGTGCTTGCCCCTTTTCCAGGAGTATATGGTGATGCCATCAGGGCGAAGTGCGGAGAAATCCGGGTTTTGGTCTCCTAGGATGCGAGGTTCTCTCTCCGATGGGCACTGAGCAGAGACGAGGCTCCTCTTGATGATGTCATTGACCTCGTTGTGTCTCGCATGCCAGCCCTTTGTGCTTCCGCAATGCAGCCCATACAGTCCATACTGGTCTGCTTCCACCCTGTTGCAAATACACTTGTATTCAGTGTGAATTAGAGCACCAAGGCGGAGGGCCACTGCTACACGAAGGGATTCTGGATCTAGGCGCGTGCCCATTGCTGACATGGGTACTGCCAGGAGGCAGTCTCCTGCATGGGGGGGGGGGGCACGCACTGCTCTGAGGCGGGATTTCTCCTTATTTTATTTTATTTTTATTTATGCATATACAAGAATGTACATAAGGAATGTGAGGATACAAATATGGTAATTACAGTCTTGTAAAGCCACTAGCACGCGCAGCGTTTCGGGCAGGTCCTTAATCTAAGAAAATTTTAAGGAGGTAAATACTTGCAGTGTAGTTGCAGCTCTGAGCATGGCATCAGCTATGCTATGCGTACTAGTGGCTTTTGGTATTGTATGTACTACCTCTATCTTTAAATCAAATTTAAATGATAAGTATTATTATTATAAAAGTCTAAATATAATAGTTAGCCATAAGTAATATATGTTACAGAAAACTATTCGCAACACTAACTGAAATAAAATTATTTGGGCTACTGTATACGCATTAATAATAATAATTCATTGTGTCGGGGGACAGGAAGCCAGGGTGTTTTCATACAAGTTAGGCTTATATCGAGGTCCCGCTCCCCCCCCTAGGTCGAATTACTGACCCCGCCCAGGAGGCAACCCCACAACAAACTGACTTAACTCCTGAGTACCTACTTACTGCTAGGTGAACAGAGGCATAAGGTGATAGGAAACGCGCCCGACCATTTCCGTCCAGCCAAGGATTCGAACCTGGAATTCTTGATTGTGCGTCGAGAATGAAACCGACAGTAATACCGGGACTCCATAATATATTAATTAAGCATGGGGTGAACAGTCACCCACATGATGGGTATGGGGTGAACAGTCACCCGCATGATGGGTATGGGGTGCACTGTCACCCACATGATGGGTATGGGGTGCACTGTCACCCGCATGATGGGTATGGGGTGCACTGTCACCCGCATGATGGGTATGGGGTGCACTGTCACCCGCATGATGGGTATGGGGTGCACTGTCACCCGCATGATGGGTATGGGGTGCACTACCACCCGCATGATGGGTATGGGGTGCACTACCACCCACATAATGGGTATGGGGTGCACTACCACCCACATAATGGGTATGGGGTGCACTACCACCCACATAATGGGTATAAGGGTGTAGTGCTTGGCGGGGAGTGACTTGAACCAGCTTGATCACTGGTTCAAGTCACCTCATTGTTCCAGTTGATTTTCTCATTGATATATTGTATATATATCATGTTAGGGTGATTTCTTTGTTTATACAATATTGTATGATAATCATAAAATAAAACAAATCATAAAGTCTTTAATTAGCAGATAATTTGCACTTTATTGTATTTACTTCAGCACCACTATAACACTAAAGTAGTAGAGCATAAACCTTAAAGATAAATTGGTAAAAAAAAATATAATATAACCATAGTAAAATATAGGTTGCTAATAAGAAATCATTTCACTACAATATATTTTAAATATAATTACTAGCCATAGACTCTCATTGTTGTACATATTGAAGGGCGGATCTCATTGAAACTTTTAAAATAAACTTTAAAAAAAAAAAAAAAAAAAAAAAAAAATATACTGAACAAGTTGGAGGATGTTCATCTGAACAATTTCTTCAAACGATCAAATGTATCAGTTAAAGCAAGTGTATCAAGCAACTTATACTATTTCAGTTTACAATTGGTATTGTATAATTTACAACTCAGTACTGTTAACTTTGTGTGTCATTCTCATTAAATGAAGGTAACATTATTATGATTACAGGGTATTCACAAACTTTACTAAAATGTTAATAAATATTTACAGATGCATATTGGTCTTACATATACAATGCTTTACTTTAGATTCATTTAAAGACTTTTAGATACATTTCCTGAAGCAAATCAAACAATATTCCAGTTAGTTTTAGGACAAATCAGGTTATTTTAACACAAGAGCCTCAGAACACTACAGTGCTAAGACTTATAAGACATCTGTCCCTATACAAATGAATCTCTAGCTGTCACTGTGTTCAACTAAGAGACTAATCATTTGTAAACTTCATTACAGTATGTGATAAACTTTAACCTAACACTCTTTAACAGTCTCACTTGACCCAACAATATAATCCCAAGTCCTGACACTTTTGCCTTGGCATTAATCAATAAACCCTGACCTCTTTGCTTGACATAATCAGTAAACCCTGACCTTTCTTATCCTGATCTAACTCTTTATCCTGTCCTAACTATCTCATCATGAGCTAATTTTTGTATCACAGCATGATAACTCTCTATTCAGGGCTTATCACTAATCACTGATAGGTATGTTTTCTTTTTTAATATCTTCAAGAGTATTAAAAACAGCTTTCAGAGGCTGGAATAACTTGCAGGAAGATTATCATCTCTATCATGGATTCAAATTGCTTGCAAGGCTTCAGAAAATTTAATAAAATCTATTTGGTAATGGAAGGGTTTTTGGCTCTTCTGTATTGTAAAACATAACACATTTTGCACATTTTCAAGTAATGTGCCAAAAATGTGTTATGTGATAAAATGTGTTAAAACCACTCGTCTGCCCATTCACCCAACCACTAGCCAACACATTTATTTATATATTTATTTATTAATTTATTTATTTATAATTTATTTATTTATTTAGTTATATACAAGAAGGTATAGTGGGTTAATGAGAGTTCATAGCATTAATGTTTTTACATTCTTGTAAAGCCACTAACACGCATAGCATTTCGGGCAGAAACCATTCACCCAACCACTAGCCAACCCATTCATCCAACACTCAACCATCCACGAACAGTAACAACTAGGAGGATGGGGAGCAAACTATTACTGAGCCTCATCACAATGCTGCCAGAATATGAATTAGGCTAACAAGAATGCTTTGTACCAAACAGGTATGGAAACGTCATCAGCATTAATGATGATATGCTCACCACTGACACTAAAGGCTAATTTATAAGAGAAGCCTATGTAATAGTTTCTCTAAAGTCTTAATTATAATATACAGTATATAAGTAAATCATTATGTTATAAAATATATGTTTTGTTTATATTGTTAGAAAAAAAGCATGCAAATAGTACAACTAACATTTTAGTAATAAATTATAACATATAGTGTCCTATTCAGGTATTTAATTAAAATGGAGCTAAATGCCATGGACAACTTTTTTTTTTTTTTACTGCTATCATTTCTGTATATTTGTCTTTGTATACTGTATTACAAATACTGTACTGAATCAAAAATACTGTATCATCAAAAATGGATTTATGACAATCATTTTATTTTGTGATGGCCACTAAAAAAGTTATAATAAATCAGTAACTTTAAAAATATTTTATTAAATGCAAGTTGATCATAAATAATATAAAAACTAAATTTAAATAGCTTAACAATTTGGTTATTTTGCAAATACAGTATACAGTACCTTAGTACTTTGGATTCCAGTAACCTGAATCTTCGAGGAATCTAAATGAATTGACATGCGAGTAGTTCACTTAAAGGCCCTTTTAACCCAAATGAGTTAAATGAAAAACGTGAATATATTTGAGTTCACGTTTTTGACTGCTCAACTCAAATAAAAATTTGAATTACTGAGAACAAATCCACAAGGGTTAGAACCTACGTCTGGGATGATCCCAGACGCGCCTTAGTTGATTGTGCCACAACATGGTCAAAGGAATTGCAATTGGGAGTGCTACTGCCTTCACATGGATCCTGCAGCCTCTCCCAGACACAAACCGTTCATTTGATGTATCATGCTATTGTGATTTCTGTGTGTTTTGAAGTAAGGGTGAAGAGGTAGAACAGCTTGTTGACAGAGCCCGGGTGCATGGGGGAATTGTGTAAAACCCTGGTTTGTGTCTCGGAGAGGCTGCGGGATCCGTGTGAGGACAGTAGCATTTATGGTTGTTATTCTTTTGACCATTTCATGGCGCAATCCACCAAGGCATGTCCTGGATCATCCCGGATATAGATTCGAACACTTATCACGACCATTGTGGATTTGTTTATTTGATGTATCACGCTATTGTGATTTCTGTGTGTATTGAGTTACTGAGGTTTTTGGTCAACAGGAAACCCAAGTAAATTGGAGTTCAAATTTGTTACTGCTCAACTCAAACAAAATTTTGAGTTGCTGAGATTTCTGGCAAATAAAAATCCTGAATTTTTTAATTTTTGGTCTTTCCAGGTAAAAATTTGACTAACTCACAGGGGAAGTGGTGCCTCCCCCATATGATTCAGATTAGTGAGTGTAGACAGTATTTGCAAATATTAACTTCAGTTTACCAGAATCAAATTTGGCCCTGGATTTTTTGTCATTGTGTGACTTAAACCTATGAAATAATTTTTACGACTTTGAGTATTACTGCAAGTTTGATGCCTCACACAAACCTATGAAATCATTTTTACGACTTTGAGTATTACTGCAAGCTTGATGCCAAGCTTGTCTTTCATAGTTCCTTCATTCAGAACTAATTAAAGCTTGCAACCCAAGTTGTTGTGTGGATTATGTAAGTTATCAAATATAATTCTGACTGTTTGTAGAACGTAATATCAAACCTATCTAGCCTCAAGGCCATTAGAATGGTGACTCAGGTAAATAGGCAAATTGTTACTTGAAATATTCAAACAAAATTGCTGTTTTGTCACTAATTTATAAATTCACCAGTGTTAGCATAGTTCAATACTGTACAGGCCTTAATTTAACAAACCCAGTTCCAGTTTATGTCTTAAATTACGACAGGATAATCTGCATGTAACTATTTTTTACCAAAAAGAAATGCTCCACAATTGACTCTGTGAACATTAAAAGGTCTTGAAGGGAAGACCTGGTCAAACTTCAATTCATTTGAATTGCTGACAATTAACAATTCTCCAGATAAAATATGAAATATGTCTGTACAATTGTATTCTCCTGGAACATTGAAGGCATGCCTTTGTTCTTGCATACTGCAGCTATTGCTTTTATAGCAGCTGTAGGGTACAGAACTGGTATTAGAGAGTAATAGTAGTACTGCAGTATAGTGTTACAGAAGGGGAAGGACATGTAATAGCGGTCATTATGCAATGGCATGTGAAGCTAGGGTAATGGGTGTTGCAGGAGCAGGTGAAGGTAATTTAATGGGTGGAGCAACAGCAGCAGGTGAAGCCGGTGTAGTGGATGTTGCAGCAGCAGGAGATGCTAGTGTAATGGGTGTCTTGTTCCAGTAGCAGCAGCAGCTGCTACAGAACGGCAAAGCTAGTGTGACGAGTTTAGAAACAGCAGGTGAAGCTAGTATGGTGATGTGATAAGAGCTGATGTACTGTAATAGATGGAGCAGAAGCCAATGCAGTAGCCGTGATGGATTTAACAGAAGCAAGTGAATTTAGTGTAATGGGTGAAGCAGAAGCAGGTTATGCTAGTGTGGTGTCTATATGAGGGAACAGTTGTACTGTACTATAATGGGTGTATCGGTAACAGATGATAACTGTTGTAATAGGTGTAACAGCAACATATGAAGTGTGATTGGTGTAGCAGCAGTAAGTGAAAATAGTGTGATGGTGTAGTATCAGCAGCATCACTAAGTGTGCAAATTTGTGCTGTGTTGGAGCAGCAGAATTAGTGCCATCACATGCCCTACGCATCCTGGCTAGTTCTATATGATGGGGTGTTGGCGACATCGGAGCCTGTGGCGATCTCTTCCTCCGTGGTGCCCCTCACAGCTGTGGGTCCTGACAAGTGGAAACAATATTAGTCAAGGACTGGATAGATGATGCTATGATACTGCATGTGTATGATGAGAGTCTGTGTTCATGCTAGGAGGAACAGTTTTAAATTTATGTACCTCCCTGAACAATAGTTCAAAAACTCCCTCATAATGTTAGACTCAAATATTTATTGTTTAAAATTGTATTTCACTATTTTAACAAAGAAAAGATATAATTACATTATTAAATATATATTCTTTGTTGGTTAAAAAGTATTTTAAAACGAAAATAGATGTATTAAAAAATTTTCTTTGATACATTATGTATGAATGAATGCAAAGGCTGAAAAAATAACTAATCTTAATGTAACAATGCTCAGGTCAAGGCGATCCATTTAAAGTTGTAGTAAATATTATAGTTGCATTAAATTTTAATTTGTTAAGATGCCTAAATAATTTAGTAAGTACTGTAATTTCATCAATACAACTGGTTCACTATTAAAATCTGACTATTTTTTGCATAGACATAAAATAAAAATAATACTGTGGCTGTTAGGCAGAACAGACCTTACCAACTAGGACTAATAGCTTGGTTCTAGCTACTGTATACACTATATTTATTACCAATCAGTTCTTCAGGAATTATCTCTGCTGTTCATTGACAAAAGTATACTTTCCGCTTTCCGCAAGAGGGCTTGATACATATGGCCGAGACACTCACCGTGGGAAGGCAGTGTAGGAGGGCAGGAGGCACAGCTTGTCTTGTGGGCTGCGCCTTGCACTGTAGCCAATAAGCACACCTAGCCTATAAACTAAGAGCAGTGCTAACAATGCCACATCAAAGGATATGGCAAAACTTGCATATATTAATACAGCCAAAACAAAAGTAGGAGATGCTCTTTCTTTTGTGGAAGATGTGTAAAACTTAGTGTTAATATTGCCAGCCAAGGAAATGCCATTGTCAGCATTGACAGGCACTCATTTTTATAATTGATATACCGTACAGTATTCTACTAAAGGTTATGCTTGTTAATACAGAAGACAGGAAGGTAGCAGGATTAATGTGCATTTGATATATGAGATAAACATGTAGTTACAGATAGAACTAAATAAATAAAATGCCAGTTGTTTAGTAGACTCAACACTATGATTGTGATGCTTGAAAAAGGTAACCTAGTAAAGTGTTAAACAGATAGACTAAAGTTTAGCTTTATCGTGATATAATAATTTGAAATTGATATAAAGTACTGATTTATCATGATACATGATTTGCCTTGATATTTATCAAGGCAAAACTTGGGACCCTCGACAATCTGTCGGCTTCTTGTCCTTGTCGAGGCCACCAGAGTTAGTGGCCCCTCAGGTAAATCAGGTAAAATCAAGTACTGTATACTATAATGAAGGCTGGAGCTGTGAGGAAAGTCATACTGTGAAATTTATCTATTTAAAGTGGTTCTGCAGTACAGGTATTTTCAATGATTACTTTATAATGGTGTAGGTGTGACACACAAGAAATATATGTTTGTATTAAAAAAAGAAAGAGATATAAGGGATTTTGAAAAAAGGTGTATTCTGATTTTCGATTGCATTTATTTTAATTCCTTTCTCTATTATGGTATATGATACAAATAAATTCATCACAAAACATTATAATATACAAAATAGGCAACAATGGAGTGCAGGTAAATTTCAGCATGGTGGTCACATTATGACAACTCTGAGTGGGAAGCCTATTATTAATGGCAGCATACATAAGCAAATGTGACAAAATATATTGATACCTTATTGTATGTTCAGTAGTTTCCAACATCCCAACCCACAGGAGCAGTGTACCAGTGAACACATGCTTCCTCCCCATCATAGGCAAAAACATCTCTTATCATGAACCAAAATTTTAAATACTTCATTTGCTGGTCAGAACACAGAAAATTCCAAAATAAAATATACTGTACATCTGAATCATGATATTCACATTGCTGTTTATAATGTGTTGTAAAGCTGTCAGTCTTTAAGTCCAGAGAATTGAATACTTGACATCATACAAATACAAAATGTTAAACCACTTGAAGACTATGAATTATAACGTAACTATGTATCGGAGGAATTAAATATATACTAAAGTTATTAACAAGCTAAAAATAATCTAATAACAAAGGTTCTTGCTAAATAAATATAAACTTTTTAACATACTCTTGGAGGAATTTTGAGTAGGACTTTCTACAAAAATTCAATGGTCTACAGCAGCTAAACCTACACATAATATGGATAGCATTTTATAATCCTGAAGATACCAGAGGGCAGACCCAAACTTCGATAATATTTGCAATACTGCATCACCAAGAAAATAATGCCATGCAAAGGGATCTTAACATGTAATAGAAATATTACTTTGACTCTTACGCAACACTTAAGCAGGAAACATTCGTGATTCATTTTATTTTTCTGTTAATGTATTTTATTAGGCTGAACTTCAGTATATACACAATTACAAAAAGAATTTTGTTTATCAATAGCAACATGTATGACACACATTGTCTTGATATTTACCAGGATTATATCATAAATATATATTTATGAATAAACTGTGTACAGCATATAATGGATAAAGGAAAGACCTAGAGGCCAGCTCATTATAGGTCTACAAGGTAACCAACACATGCTTTACCAGAAGCAGTGTATAAAGCTCCAGATAGTGGCTCCATCCACACTCTCCACCTAGCAAACTTTAGGAATAATAGTTGTTTCATGTGCACAGTTTCTTAAATTATTGCAATGCTGTATTTAATAATAATAATATTAATTCATTGTGTCGGGGGACAGGCAGGTAGAGTGTATTCATACACGTTACGCATAAATAGAGATTCTCCCCGCCACCCCACCTCCAAGGTCGAATTACTGACCCTGCCCAGGATGCAAACCCACAACAAGCTGTCTAACTCCTGATTACCTACTTTCTGCTAGGGGTGAACAGGAGCAGTAGGTGATAGGAAATGTGCTCAACCATTTCTGTCCCGTCCAGGATTTATATTTCATCAGATTTTTGTCATGATTTCAGAGTGTAAATGTCTGATCTCTGAGTTCATATATATATAGGTGGTGTACTGACCATAAGAAGTAGCTGACCGTAAGCGTATTGCTGTAAGCTAAATGCTGCACTTATCGTCAAACTAGAAGTGAGATGCATTTTGCAAGACATGTCATGTCCCATATGACTCATGCCTATTAAGGCAAGACAAACACATGATTATTTACAGATGTTTACCTAGAATTGATTAATACTGTACAGTATAGACCTTTTAGCTAGACATATACACACACTTTATTGCATAAATACTTAGAGATTCATTAGAAATAATTTTTGTGTGGATTTTAACATTGTTTGACTTTAAAAATACACATACATCATATGACAAAGATTATAAGGAAGACAGGGCACCATGAGCATAGTTCTCATCCTCTAACTCTGAAGTAATCACACAAACATGCATGCACGCAAGCACCCACACATGTGCTTGAACGATTATTACATACAGAGCTCTCAGGGAAATTGATGAGACAGACAAGGCTAGACTATTTATAATGAGTAGTGCAATACTCAAGCAAAGGAACATAGGTGGAAACAGAGTACCCAAAAGAGCCACACAAATATTAGAATGAATTTTTGTCTGTGTTAAAGTGTCGAGCAAATGTAATGCACTAAAAAATGAGGTGGTGGAGGCAGACTCTATACACATGCTGATGAATCTGTACACCAGTTGACAGTTGAGAGAGGGGACCAAAGAGCCAATGCTCAACACCTACAATCACAATTAGGTGAGGACACACCCTCATGGCTACTGGCTCTAAAGCATAAGAGCTACGAGTAGTGCCTGGACTCACTTGGATTGCCAAAACTAGGGGACAGAAGTAAAAGAGAGAACAGGATGACTAAGTAAAAAATTGTATTAGAAACTGACAATTATTTGCAGCAATATCATTAAATCTTCCCATCATAAAGCACATAAGAACACTTAAAAAGGGATAGAGGTTTGCCATTAGATTCACTTCAAAGTTATTGGCAATGGGATAATAGGATAAACTAAGAACAAAAGGTTACATTGCTTAAGGTGAGAAAAGGCAGAGGAATCATGATTGAAACTTACAAAATACCTTGCAGTATAGAGACAGCACTATCGCAAGTTAAATGAGACATCTTTTAAGGATTTAAAAGCCTCAAGGATTTTGGGTTTCAGGATGAAGATTAAGAATGTTATGAACCCCTGAAATAATGAAGATATAATAAATGAGGCAAGTTAAATTATGCCTACAAAAATAATGGTGCAATTGACAGGTACATTTATTCGTGCTACATAAATATACAGTACAGTATAATCATCTGTATAAAGTATTCACATAACTTAGGTTTGTATAACATTCAAACTAAAAAATGCATTTCAGTAAACAGTACAATATGCTATGTGTGTGTATTTACTACTATATTTGCACCTGCAGAATCGAGCTGTTAGCTCTTGTACCCTGCCTTTCTAACCAATCTATTTATTTTGCCTCTATTATGTCTGCTACATACAGTAGATTTCTCTCTAACACACGCACATCGTAGCAGCTGTCAAACTCCCAGGTACCTATTTACTGCTAGGTGTATAGGTGAATCAGGATGAAAGAAACTTGGCCCATTTGTTCCTGCCTCGGTCAGGAATCGAATCCGGGCCTTTAGGACTACGACCCCTGAGCGTTCTCCACTCAACAGCGAGTCCCCCGTGTGTGTGTTTAATTACCTAAGTGTAGTTACAGGATGGGAACTACGCCTGTGGTGTCCCATCTACCCAGCACTCTTTGTCATATAACACTTTGAAACTACCGACGGTTTTGGCCTCCACCACCTTCTCACCTAACTTGTTCCAACCGTCTACCACTGTTTGCGAAAGTGAACTTTCTTATATTTCTTCGGCATCTTTGTTTAGCTAGTTTAAATCTGACCTCTTGTTCTTGAAGTTCCTGGTCTCAGGAAATCTTCCCTATCAATTTTATCAATTCCTGTTACTATTTTGTACGTAGTGATCATATCACGTCCTTTTCTTCTGTCTTCTAATTTTGGCATATTTAATGCCTCTAACCTCTCTTCGTAGCTCTTGTCCTTCAGTTCTGGGAGTCACTTAGGAGCATGTCTTTGCACCTTTTCCAGTTTGTTGATGTGCTTCTTATGATATGGGCACCACACAACCGCTGCATATTCTAGCTTTGGCCTAACAAAAGTCGTGAACAATTTCTTTAGTATTTCACCATTCGTGTATTTAAAAGCAATTCTGAAGTTAGAAAGCGTAGCATAGGCTCCTCACACAGCGTTCTTTAAGTGGTCCTCAGGTGATACTTTTCTATCTAAAACCACCCCTAGATCTTTCTTTATCAGAATTCTTTAAAGATTTCTCACATAATTTATAGGTTGTGTGGGGTCTATGTTCCCCTATTCCACATTCCAAAACATGGCATTTATTCACATGAAATTCCATTTGCCAAGTGGTGCTCCATATACTTATTTTGTCCAGGTCTTCTTGAAGGGCATGACAATCATCTAAGTTTCTTATCTTTCCTATAATCTTAGCATCATCAGTAATCATGTTCATATAATTCTGATGTGTGTGTGTGTGATTTTGAAAGTGCATATTAATTTCCAGTGTGTACAATTTGTAAACTCATCTTTTGCCTTGTGCATGTTCTTCATAGTCTACAAAATCATCTAAAATTCATTATACTCACGTGCCTCTGTATATTTTTTGTCCTATGAATATACAATATGTGAAATCGTATGTTACATTCTTGCAAAGCCACTAACATGCATAGAATAACAGTTGTGTTTGTAAACACAAACACAATTTTTTTTATAATGTGTGTAATGTAAAGCTGAGTTACATTTATATACTGTACAGGTACATCTTCTTTCAGGACATTTCAGAAGTTTTTAAATCTCTGTACAGTACAGTATATATAATCTTCACAAATTGGAATGTATTTTGTCAACATACAGAGGTATCGGTTTATATCTACATCTTTCTACACATTGTTAATCATTCTTTCATGCTATATTCACATGCAAACTTAAATACAATTATATATGCTTTTAATAAATGTGAATTCAGGCAGATGTTTCTAATTGCATTGAAAAAATCCTATATTTCACCAGTGGTTTATAAAATGCTAATATATTTGCAATAAGCTATCACAGGAAAATATTTGTTTTGACAGTACAATACTGCATGGAAATGCACTTGTAAAGGAGAATAATTTTGTTTTAATCTGTCAAGTGTTTAGGTCAAGATTGGCTGCTAAGTGGAGGTAATAAAATCTTATGAAATGATATCTATTTAATGTACTATTTTAATACATTAATATATATCATGTTCCACAGTAAAATGGTGAGACAATCACTGTACAGCACATAATGTATTTTATATATAAATTGTCTAACTAATTTAGTTATCTGTACAACTATCACAGGAACAGTCATGTTTTAATTAGGGAGTCATTGCTACATATGCAGAAGAAATACTGTATGTTTAATAATAATTATATTTATATATATTTATATATAGCTATAATGCTATAACTATGTACAGTAACAATAGTAAAATCATCATGATCCACTTATGCAACATGAGAAAAATCATGCCAAGAACACTATACATTTTTTATTGGCATGCAAGAAGCAAATATACAATGGGGCATCAATGTAAGGGTGCTCAGAAATCACAGTGCTAGCATGCAGCTTCATCAACAGACTTGCAACTGGCTGAGAGCGAGGCACGGGTAGAATTGGTTCTGGGAGTTGAGGGGCGAGAGGAGCCAGGAGAGGAAGTATTGGATGCTGGTGCCTCAGGTTCAATCTGTGGTAATGTCTGCTTATCAAAAGAGTTGGTGGAGGACTTGGTGTCAAAAGAAGGATGCAAATGAGAGGGGCGACTGTAGGAGAGGGAGAGCTGCTTATGAATCCGGGAAGGAGGGATAGGGAACTGGTTTTGAGAATTTGATAGGGAGAGTTGGCTGTGGGGGTGGGAGAAGGAAAGCTGTTGGTTAGAGAGGGAAAACTCATCAGTGCTGGCAGAGTTTGAGAGAATCACGGAGCTGAAGTTATTCGTACCGCGGGGCTTGGCTGGTGGAGGAGTTCCACAGCATCCACACAGTCGTGCTCGTACAGCCTCAAGGATTTTGGGTTTCAGGATGAAGATTAAGAATATTATGAACCCCTGAAATAATGAAGTTATAAAATAATATCTTGAATCTTGGCAGTAACCTAAACTCAATCTAATATGGTACAATATTTAAAAATAAAAAAGTTTGCAGTAAGTAGGCATAACATTTATAATGAATTGAGAAAGATTGAAGACTTATTTGAAAACAGAAAAATGTTGATAATTTAAAGAGTGGCAAGATATGTTACAATTACTATAAGAAATGCAAATGTTATAATGTAGAAAAATAATTTAATGTTTTGAAAACACTTGCCTGGAAGCAGTTGAAAACATCAGAAATATACCAGACAGTGCTAGGCCCCAGTTGGAATGATATGATTTCTGCCAGCCAGCTGATACCCATCACTAAAAATAGCTGCAATGAAAAAATGAAAGTGAAAGGTGGATATAGCCATCAATATTTGATGGTGGGGGGGACGAGGGATAGTGGGGAGGACATGGGGATGGGGGAGTGGGAAATGGGGAGGATGAAGGAGTGGGGGATGGTGAGGGGGAGGGGGGGAGTGGTGGGGAGGATGAGTAGGCAGGAGAATGGGGAATGGTGGGGAGGATGTGGGGACAGGGAAGGGTTGCTGTGGCTCAGCAACGTGCATGCATTACTGAGCCACAGCAACGCGTGGCCAGGTACAGCTAGTAAATAAATAAATAATTTTTTACTTAGGTAAAAGTACATAAATACATAATGAGTTACATGCAGAATGTTGGATTTCTAGATAACCTTTCATGACCTTTGTGGGATTGAAATTGTAATATGTAGCAGTTGTATGGTGCCCATATCTCAAGAAGCACATATGTAAACAGGAAAAAGTGCAACAACTTGCAAATAAATTCTTCTACACTGTACCGTTTAATTACGCTTACTTTTCTCTGTTAGATTAAGGATCTACCCAAAATGCCATGCACTTTAGTGGCTTTGCAAGAATGTAAGAACACCAATGTTATGTACTCTCACAGCCCAGTGTACCTTCTTGTATAAATAAATTTATTTATGCAAGAATAAGTAAAGAGGTGTTAAATATACAAAAGATAGACTATAGAATAAAAAAAAAGAGGTGATATGATCACTATTACAAAACAGTAACAGAAATCAATAAAATTGACAAAGAAGAATTCTTGAAAACTGCAACTCCAAAACAACAACTCCAAAAGCTAGGAAACAAAGCTGCCAAAAGAACATTAGGGGAGTTCACATCTGCATAGTGGTAGACGATTAATGGAACAAGTGAGAAGGTGGTGGAGGCCAAATGACATTTCAAAGCATCATATGAAAGAGTACAGGGAAGATGGGACAACACGAGCATGGCTCTCATCCTGAAACTACACTTAGGTACTTACACACAAAATAAATTAATTTTCAAAGCGCTATACGACAAAGATTACTAGGAAGCCGGGATACCACGAGCATAGTTCTCATCCTGTAATTAAAACTTAGGTAATTAAACACAGTCAGCAGTTACCTTGAAACAGAGTCTGAGCCTCTGCCTGGTCTGTTTCTGTACGGTGCCCTTGTGGCTCTGTTGGACGGTGACCAGGAGGGAGCGCACCGTGAGGATGAAGAACACCAAGTCTGCCACCAGCAGCACTGCAACGGGCCCAAAAAAGTAGGCCCACTTGGCTCCATTGTTATGGGTCACCGAGTCTGAGGAAGGACAGGAGGAGGATGAGACACCTATCTGTGTATAGCCAGGGGAGAAAACAGGCACATGTGTTTGACCAGTGGGGAGAAAAATGCCACGTGTATGTTGCTGGTTTACGAGCAATAATGTACTGTTCATGGCTTGGGGGAAGAGCCACACGTTCCTCCTGCCAGCCTCCAAGAGTAAGGTTGGCAGGAATGTATGTATGTCTTGGGAAGGCATCGTATGTGTATGCCAGGGAAGAAAAGCAGGCACGAGTGTCTGCATATGGAAATACGGGTTTGTATGGGATGATAACGTATATGATAAAGGATTTATTTGTATATAGGAATGAGATTATTGTTTTACATGAAGTGCATTTGTAGTTGGGTGGGGAAGTGCTTTTGATGGATGGGTAGATGAGGGAGTATATTTGAAAAGAAACAGACTCGTGAATAGTCAGCATGAGTTGTTTTGTGTGGGGCATTTATGTATGGAACAGTTGTGATTTACTGGGGGGGGGGGGTGATTTATGTACAGTATTGTGTTTGGGGGGATTTTATAAATGATGGGGGGAAGCATTTAAGTATGGTCGGGATGTATAAGTGAGATAAGGACACCTAGAGGGAACACTTACCTATGGCTCGCACATCACTTATTTACAGTGGAAAACATGTATGGCTGGGCACGTTTCTAAGGAATTATTTAGTTTTGTATAGTGGAGGAGCACTTGTGTATGGCGAGAGGTAGTTAGTTGTTTGGTGGATGTCACAACTGTGCATGACAGAATTGAGCAACTGCTCATGTATATTTGTGGTGCATTTTTTTATGGCTAAGGGTGCATTTTTGCATGTTAAAGATACATTTGTGTATGGCTAATGGTATTTACACATGAAAGGGAAAAGGGGCACGTGTGTGGTATGTGTCCATTCTCAGTGCATGACCAGTGTCCATTCTCAGTGCATGACCACATGATTGGATACATAAAACAAATTTAAGAGTTAAAGATTTTTGTACTTGGAATAATAAGTCATTAGTTCCGTAAATTATTGAAAGGAGCAATGATTTTGCAGATGACGAGTCACAATAACGTGGCTGAAAAATGTCAACCAAAGAACACGCTAGAAATTGAGGAGACGACAAAGTTTCGGTCCGTACTGGACCATTATCAAGTCGATTGTGAGCAAAGATTTCATCAAAATTTTATCAGCCTTTATCTGCTCAATGCAAATATAACTAAACTTTGTGTACTGTAGTCTGTATATACAAAATTCTCAACAAAATAAGTACTTCAAGATTTAAGACTCGAGTCAAAAGGATGTGAAACAATATGTGGGAATCCTTCGTGAAACAATTGGAAAGATGTTGACCAATCCACACACTAGAAAATGAAGGGACGACGACGTTTCGACTTGAGAATGGTCCAGGACGGACCGAAACGTCGTCGTCCCTTCATTTTCTAGTGTGTGGTCTGGTCAACATACTTCAGCCACGTTATTGTGACTCATCGCCTGCAATTGGAAAGATACTGTACAGTACAAACAAATACATTCCACGTACAGCTGAAGAAGCAGGAGTAGGTGCCAAACTTGGGTTTGATGTAGCAGTTGCTGATGGATGGTGTGAACTCCATGATGAGGGAGACAGCACCGAAGACCATGGGAGACACCCAAGCGTACACCTGGTACCACACCCAGCGTCTCCCACTTGAACTCTCCTGCCTGCACACATTACTTAGTTTAGTTCATTTATTATACACCCCCATACCCATCTTATGGGCGGTAGTGGAAAGGGTTACAGAGGCACATAATGGGCTCAGGGACTGAGCCCTACAATTCATTTAGCTAAGCAAGTTATAATCTTGATGCACACATTAAATGGCCATTATAGAGAAGCATGTTTCAACACTCAACCACACCAGCTCCCGGTCACCATACATTCGTTGCTATACAGTATAATCATGATTTGATTCACCATCTTTGTGCTGTTATCATTTGCATCATTAAAATTGGCTTTAACGTCTAAATATAAGATGTTAGAGAACACTACTTGTAGTGAAATTATTGTGGTATTTTGTTTTCTTTTATTCATTATAGACCTTTCTTCTTTAGCATAGTTAACTATTCGTCAGATTTTGTTACTATTATGGCAATGTTCATCAGTCAGCTGGCAAGAGTGTTACAATATATATACTCCAACATGTATCTGTACTAACTCTAACTCTCTATTAACTCTGCGTATGCTTCCCATAGTTTTCATAATTTCCCAATAATCATACAGTATTAACATTCATAATTCCTGACAAATGTTTCTTAAAAAAATAAAATCTGAAATCTACACGAATTAGTTCAAGTTCAAGTATGTTTATTGAGATAAGAAAGAAATACATCTCAAAGGGATAGAGTAGCTTAGGCTATTTCTACCCCCCAAGGAATTAGTTATGAGGAACATCGTTACACAGCTTGGCTATTGACTTGGGGCCAGATTCACGAAAGCATTTACGCAAGCACTTACGAACGAGTACATCTTTTCTCAATCTTTGGCGGCTTTGTTTATAATTAATAAACAGTTAATGAGATCCGAAGCACCAGGAGGCTGTTTATAACAATAACAACAGTTGATTGGCAAGTTTTCATGCTTGTAAACTGTTTAATAAATGTAAACAAAGCCGTCAAAGATTGAGGAAAGATGTACACGTTCGTAAATGTTTGCGTAAGTGCTTTCGTGAATCTGGCCCTTGTTACATAGCGTCATGATGAGAGACGTACCTGGCGCACTTCCACCACAGCTCGAAGCACAGAACATTGAGCCAAAAGAAGGTAGCCATGAAGAACATGTACATACACACTCCTGCAAGGAAGAGCAAATGTTTTTGTGGGTTTCTAGGCCTTCAAGTAATATTATCCAATACATTTAACATTCAATATCACGCATTATTTTAAGTTAAGCCCAAAATGCTGCATATACATTGTATTTTATTATAAATTAACCTCTGTATAAAAAAATTATATAAGTTGTTAGGGAACACAGGATCATATGTAATATGATCCTTTATATATAAGTAAATTATTATTGTTATTATTAGAGTAATCCTGATATAGTTTTATATATGTAGTGTAATGTATGTTATTCTTCACTTCATTAATTTAAACCTTAATCATTCAAAAATTAAAAGAATATTAAAGTCCATAAAACTTCGAGAAATTGAAATTGAAATAAGTTTATTGAGGTAAAATACACACAAAGGGATGAGGTAGCTCAAGCTATTCTCACCCCGTTCAGTACATCGTGTTAATACATACATAGACACACATCACAAGCAATAAACATATTACCAAACATTCTGAGAGATAAACATATACATTTCCTAACTTCTAGAAGTGTTGTGCTCAATGAGTGACTACTGTTAAGACACGGGGTGAGGTACACTACTGTTAAGACACGGGGTGAGGTACACTCCTGTTAAGACACGGGGTGAGGTACACTCCTGTTAAGACACGGGGTGAGGTACACTCCTGTTAAGACACGGGGTGAGGTACACTACTGTTAAGACACGGGGTGAGGTACACTCCTGTTAAGACACGGGGTGAGGTACACTACTGTTAAGACACGGGGTGAGGTACACTACTGTTAAGACACGGGGTGAGGTACTCACCAACACCGACGCAGGCGCTGGGGCTGGCCAGGTTGATGGGGTCAGAGAACAACTTGATGATGATGAGGAAGAGGTAGGCAAAAAATAAACTGAAGAGGAAACAGAGGAGGATGCGGCCCAAGACCGAGTGAGCCAACTTTACCTGTGGCAAAATAATAAACCAGATTAAAGAGAAATTTACCCGAATTTACCTGTGGGTTAGTCCCTAGAGTTAGTTACCCTGCTGCCTGGGTAACAGCTTCTCCCCCGAATCAACCTACCCTGGCTTTGTGCCCTGGTGAGACCACTCCAGACCAGGTTGACACCAGTGCAACTCCATAGTCTCCTGAGACTGATGGATGCCTACTACTACTACTACTACTACTACTACTAGTCCCTAGAGGCCTTGACGGGGACAGGAAGTCGACAGCTGTTCACAGGCCCGTCTAGTTATGTCATACTAAGTGGCAACAAATATCAGACAAGACGAAATTTGGTTCATTTGTATTATTTTGACATTTTCGACTTTGCAGAGTTAATTGATGTGATTGCATCTTAAAATATGTTATACACAAAAAGTAGATGCATAACGAAACTAATTTGACCATCTTTTATCTATGTAAAGACCTAGAAATTATCCTGTTTTTGCTCTCACTTTTGGTGTCCTTTAATAATAGTAATAATAATAATAATGATAATAATAATTTGAGGTCCCCTCGAGGTCAAACTATTGACCTTCCCCAGAATAAAACTACACAATAGTTTGTCTCCTCCGTGCCTATTTACTGCTAGGTGAACTGAAGCATTAGGTGAAAGGAAATATTTTCAACTCTCATTAATAATTAATTATCAATTATAATTATAAATCCATGAAACTGCCTACCCGTTAAAGCCGTAAATGTCAAAAAACTTGAATTTGAAAATCCAGCTAGAAAAGTCATTAGGACAAATGAAGGGCCTTTGACAAGCTGCCGGCTTTCTGTCTTCGTCGACGCCACTAGTGTGTTAGTGGCTCCTCAGGTAAATTAAATACCATATCTGTATTTTGCTTTAACTACATTTGCTATACTTAAGTGGTCTACGTTACTACCGCCCACAAGATGGGGTATGGGGTGCATAATAAATGAACTAAACTAAGTCTATTGTGTACCTATGAATACTCTACTGTATCATGTTTCAAATGTATGTATGTATTTTATATAAATATAAATTATTGTAATAATTATTATTATTATTAGTATTATCTGTAGACGATGAGTCACAATAACGTGGCTGAAGTAAGTTGACCAGACCACACACTAGAAGGTGAAGGGACGACGACGTTTCGGTCCGTCCTGGACCATTCTCAAGTCGATTGTGACAATCGACTTGAGAATGGTCCAGGACGGACCGAAACGTCGTCGTCCCTTCACTTTCTAGTGTGTGCTCTGCTCAACTATTATTATCTGTACACGGTAGATTAGTCTAGGAGAAACATGGGATGAAGTTCACGTCAACTTGACGTAAGAAGGAAATATGATGTGACTCACGTTCTTGTTGAGTCCCCGCTTGTTTTGGTCTGGGACTGTGAGGTAAACTATGAACGACACCAGGATGAAGAGGTCAGAGATGGCCAGGAACGCTGAGTAGATGTAATTCACCTCATGCTTCTCCATCTTGCCCAGATGGTCCCACTTGTCGCTGAAGCAGAAGCCGGCGCCCTGCTTCACCTCCCCCGTCGGGTACAGCACCTGCCCGTGGAGGTTGTCGGTGTTATCCAGAGAACACAAGGGAGGGTTTCACGAAAATGGTATTGGGACGTATGGTGAGTGAGGGGGAATATTTCTCCAGGAGGACGGTAGTTGACATACCTGATCGACACAGAACTCGCCCCGGGGTATGACGAAGACCTGCAGCGGCTCACACTCGTCGGTGTTGTTGCTGACGTAGCGGAGTGAGCCGTGGTGAAGGAGCTGCACGTGCTCGTTGGAGTAGGTCAGCTGCACCTCACACGCGGGAAACCCGTACCCATAGTCCGCACCAAGCACCTGCCCGGGGCGCGGACCCACACACACATTACTCTTCAATTTATACATTCTAATGATTATGTCCAAATCCTTGCACTGTCAACTCAATTAGATGAGAGTTGCTGTAATAATTTTGTTTAGTGAATAGCTAAAATTAAAGTGAATTACCAAATTTCGTTATCAGGGCACCCAACCTTGTACTTCTAACTCACCTAGTACTGTACTTTACTCTAGAAATATAAGACCATCTATATAATTCCTCATTATCACCTACCTGATGACTAAGGTTACGTTACATACAGTATTATGGCAACTCACTGCATACCTCAGCCACCAGGTGTATGTCTGTGTTTAGGACTGACTGGTCACCCTACAACTTGTAGTTCACTGCACATTTTGTTATATCTTGAAGGAACACTTACCCATAACGCTACGGTGGTCATATACATGGCTTTCCGGTGTCAGCCTATAAGGCTCATCGAGATCCTTCTAGGCACTGACTGATCTTTCCCAAGATGCAACCCAACAGCAACCCCCCTAACTCCCATCAACGTATACACTGCTAAGTGAATACGAGGATCAGGTGAAAGAAAACCTATACATCCAGCCCTGAATTCACGTCCATCCATGGTAATGCTTCCCCTCTTGAGCACCTCAGCTCCTGGTCCTATGACCTTGCGTCAGTGTTCTTATATCCACTCCTGATGCGCTGTTTCTGGCCGCTCTTGTCTGTGCATCAATACCTAACACAACACCTCCCCCGATGGACCCCAGGTCTGGGTGTACCCACCCCAGGCCCGTGGAGACTGCCCGCTGGGTGTGACTCGTTGTCTCTCCAGACGGTGGGGTGGAAGAGGTACTCTCTGGCCGACACGCAGTTGTTGGAGGTGGCGTCGATGATCTCCCCGAACTGGCAGCACTTGGGTACGCACGACTCGCTCTGGCAGCCTGGGGTTTGGAGCCGTTGGAGGTGTTGCTTCTCCGCCTCGCTCACACACACGTATGCCTGCAGGAGGGAGTGGACAGTGCACGATGTCTTTATCGGCTTTCCAACTTGACAGTTCTGTAGATTTTTGACAGTTACTTGTATATTTCTTTTGATACTTTTTAATTTTCTGCTCACCTTTTCTTTAATCTCTCTCTCTCTCTCTCTCTCTCTCTCTCTCTCTCTCTCTCTCTCTCTCTCTCTCTCTCTCTCTCTCTCTCTCTCTCTCTCTCTCTCTCTCTCTCACTCTCTCACTCTCTCACTCTCTCACTCTCTCACTCTCTCTCTCACTCTCTCACTCTCTCACTCTCTCACTCACTCACTCACTCACTCACTCACTCACTCACTCACTCACTCACTCACTCACTCACACACACACACACACACACACACACACACACACACACACAACTCACCGTAGGTACAAGAGTGCCGTTGGTGTGAAAGTCCTCGATGCAGTACTGGTTGTCAGGGATGACACGGTCGAGGAGGGGCACGAAGAGTCCTCCAGTCTCCTCCTCGACGTGGAAGGTGTCCACCTGCCAGCCCATCTGCTCGCCTACGCACGTCTGCGTCACACACACATGTGGGAGAGTGGTCACGGAGGCTTAGTACCTCTGTACCTTAGTACCTCTTATGCGCTCTGCTCTCTCTCGCCCGGTCGCATTCATCAAGCAGTTGCGTGTCCTTACGAAACCTGAACCTTCCTCAATCATGGTGGCTTTGTTTGAATTTATTAAAACAGTTTGTGACCTTCGAAACGTTATACTATTTTGTCTATAACATTAATAACCTTGGGTTGTGAAGTTTCGAAGCTCGCAGGCTGTAATACCAAGTGGTCATGATCCAGGAAAGATGTACAAGGTTTCGTAAGTGGACACGTACATGCTTGACGAATCCTGGCTGTAGTGGTTCGTGATTCGTGTAGGTATTTACGTTCAGTTTAAAGGCCTATAAAGCCTATCAATCTCTGTAGGATTATTATTAAGGCAGTAAGACACTAGCTAACTGACCAACCAGCAAGTATATAGATATATCCTAGTCTTCAACACCGTTCAGGACTAAACTCCAGGGGCCAGATTCACGAAAGCACTTACGCAAACACTTACGAACGTGTACATCTTTCCTCAATCTTTGACGGCTTTGGTTACATTTATTAAACAGTTTACGAGCATGAAAACTTCCCATTCAACTGTTGTTATTGTTATAAACAGCCTCCTGGTGCTTCGGAGCTCATTAACTGTTTAATAAGTGGAAATACAGCCGCCAAAGATTGAGAAAAGATGTACAGGTTCGTAAATGCCTTCGTGAATCTGGTCCCAGACTTTGGAATCTAAGACGTTCCACTTCCGCCTCTCTGTACTGACCTGGAAGCTTGGTACCAGCTCGTGAGTGTCGGAGTATGGCAGCTGGCGGACGTCAATGAGCTGGACAGTTCCTGATGGCTCCTCTGCCGGCCTGAGGGGCACCAGCCAGGGCGTCTCCGTCAGGTTGGCCCGCAGGGTACAGCTGATGGCGGTGTCGTACACCTGGTGGAGGGAGGGAACAGTTGAGGCACGACCTCATTAACAGTTACATGACTACACTCCAGCAGCATTCCTCTCTAAAGTGTTGTCTTCACCGGAAATTTGTTGCGAAGTCGTCACTGGATGTCACTAGTTTTCAGAACTGTCTAAAGTGATGTTTTGAGAAAACGGCTGTAAAAAAAAAAAACACATTCACAGTGATCCACATTCCTTAGAATGTGGATCACTGCCTATTAGAGCCAGTCTTCCTGAGAATGTCAGCTTGCAGTGCCTTAAGCAACCAGGAACGGTCACTACAGCTTAAGAGCGTCACATATTAGGAAGGTCAGTCGTGTCGGAAGGCTGTTAAGATGCTAATTTTGGCACCTACAAGTAGTCACCACGGCAAGGCCAAGGTGACGGAACGTTGGTCATCGTTCAGGGAATTGAGAAAGGCGGGGCTGGCTGGTATTCAGACTCCCTGGTACTCATACTCTCGGAGACATGGAAGGGGAGAGGTAATTTCATGATACATGCCAAAGTAATTAGTAGGGACAAGTGCCATGCATACCAATTGTGTCTCCCAGATACTACATTAGCCTGGTGCGGAAACATGGCGGAGGACTCGCGAGGTATGAGGTCAAATCCATCTCAGTTTATAGGACATTTATTAGTAGATGCTCCGGTGGAACTGTATTATTCTGTAAGTCTGTATTGGCGTATTCCTTTCCATTGGAGACTTTCAGCGCCGTGAAGAGAGGGGACCTGCTGCCTGGGTAACAGCTTCTCCTCCGTATCAACCTACCCTGGCTTTGCGCCCTGGTGAGGCCACTCCAGACCGACAACCAGAGCGCAACTCCATAGTCTCCTGAGACTGATGGATGCCTACCACTACTAATATTTCATACTCTTTGCAAGTCTGAATAAAATGTATATATCGTCGAGCTTGTGAATTTTGCGTGGTTATAAGGCCACTGGAGAACGACAACTAAACTAACCTCATTATGCATGCAGCACTTCCTGACGGGGATTTTGGAGGGATCAAAGGTCTCCACCTCGGTCTCCAGGATGCACACCATGGCGCCCTGGATGTGCGGAGAGCCTCGCACGCTGGCGTTGGCCACGAAGTTCTCCAGGCAGTAGTCGGCCGGGTCGTAGTACCTCTCATATTCCGGAACCCACAACTGGCCAGTGTCCAAGACACGGAAGTCGAACTCGGGTTTTCTCTCCGGCACGGCGTCCAGCAGGTACCGCTCGCACCCCAGCATCTCCGTCTGCAGCTCCACCTGGTGGCGGGGCGGGGAGTCAGGCACTTTCTACACCGCGGTGTCACCCTGCGGGAAGGTCCTCGCTGCACGAGGCCTTCCCTACAACATTGTCTTTCCGGATGCTTCACAAACGGTTGTGAAAGCAAGTAATGATGCTTTTTAAAATATAGTGATAGTGAATATAGGGATTGTGTTAGTGAATATAGTGTCAGTGATCGTTTTTAGGGAATATAGTGATCGTGTTAGTGAATATAGTGATTGTGTTAGTGTATATAGTGATTGTCATAGTGAATATCGTGTTAGTGAATATAGTGTTAGTGATCGTTTTAGTGAATATAGTGATCGTCTTAGTGAATAATGCTATAGATTGTGAAGTGACAGTGTTGTTGAGGAATGTTCACCATACAAGGCTGTTACAAAGATTGGAGCAACAGGCAGGAGTAAAAGGTAAGATGTTCCAGGGGAATAAGGGAATATCTAAGCAACAGGAAACAGCGAGTAACTGTGAGGGGGAAGATATTAATGGCGAGATGTCACCAGCGGAGTCCCACAGGGCTCTGTACTTGGACCCATCCTGTTTCTGATATATGTAAACGACCTTCCAGAGAGTATAGACTCATTCTTCTTGATGTTTGCTGATGATGCAAAAATTGTGAGAAGAATCAAGACAGGTGAAGATAGACAGATTACAGGACAAACTGGAGGAATGGTCTAGAAAATGGCTACTAAAGTTTAATTCAGGAAAGTGTAAAGTAATGAAATTAGGCGAAGGGAGCAGGAGGCTGAACACAAGGTATCATCTGGGAGGTGAAATCTTGCAAGAGTCAAATAGAGAGAAAGATCTGGGGGTTCATATCACACCGAACCTGTCCCCAGAGGCCCACATCAAAAGGATATCATCAGCAGCATATGCTAGATTGGCCAACATAAGAACTGTCATTAGAAACTTGTGTAAGGAATCGTTCAGGACTATGTTTACCACTTATGTCGGACCAATCCTGGAGTATGCAGTTCCAGCCTGGAGTCCATACCTAGTTAAACACAAGGCAAAGTTAGAGAAGATTCAGAGGTATGCCACTAGACTAGGCCCAGAACCGAGAGGTATGAGCTACGAGGAAAGGCTACGGGAGCGAAACCTCACGTCCCTGGAAGACAGAAGAGTAAGGGGAGACATGATCACCACCTGCAAAATTCTCAGGAAAATTGACATGGTGGACAAAGAAAAACTATTTAACATGGGGTGGAACACGAACAAGCGGAAACAGGTGGAAACCAAGTACCCAAATGAGGCACAGACACATTAGAAAGAATTTTGTCAATACCAGAGTAGTTAACAGATGGAATGCATTAGGCAGTGATGTGGTGGAGGCTGACTCCATACACAGTTTCAAATGTAGATTTGATAGAGCCCAGTAGGCTTCAGAATCTGTACACCAGTTGATTGACAGTTGAGAGGCGGGACCAAAGAGCCAGAGCTCAACCCCCGCAAGTACACACACACACACACACACACATATATATTAGAAAGAACTTTTTTAGTGTCAGTGGTTGACAAATGGAATGCATTAGGCAGTGATGTGGTGGAGGCTGACTCCATACATAGTTTCAAGTGTAGATATGATAGAGCCCAATAGCATCAGGAACCTGTACACCTGTTGATTGACGGTTGAGAGGCCGGACCAAAGAGCTTTGACTCTTTGGTCCCGCCTCTCAAAGCACAAAGCACAATTAGGTGAGTACACACACACACACACACACACACACACACACACACACACACACACACACACACACACACACACACACACACACACACACACACACACACGCACACTGACCTGATCCCGCGTGAGGTTGGACTCCATGTACATGCCGTAATAATCGACGGTGAAGATGGGAACACTGAAGGTGAGGTCCTGGCCAGGCTGGCAGCCCTTGGTGGCGTGGTCGAACACCTCGCTCTCGGGACAACACTTGTGGATGACCAGACTGGGCGCAGCCTCCAAGGCGGCGACGAGTGCTGGGAGCTGGGCCGCCGGGTCGTCGGTGGAGGTGATGGGGCGGCCCTGCTGCGCCTCCTGCAGGAGCTGGGGCGCTGCTCCCTCGGGTAGTGATGTTGAAGCGTCCTCACTTTCTGCCGAAGATAAGAACACGATATTGAATTCTTTGAGCAGTAGAGGTGAATATACTCCTCCGGCCATATGCATAATGCATATGTATCATTACATATGTAACATTATATTAAGCAGTTTCAAACTGTTATTCTGCAGTTATTTTAGGACCATCTGTGGATAATCCTTAATTGTATTAAAAGGGATTTTGATGATAAAAGTCTCCATGAGCGCGCGTATGTGTGTGTGTGTGTTAATGTATAAGTATGCATGTATATGTGTGTGAATGTTTAGTGTGTGTATGGACATACTACGTGAAAAGGATTTTAAGGTAGCAGTCATGTCGTTTCTTCATGACCATAAATGCAATGAAACCTCATTTGAAAGTGGAAATAGCTAAAGTGCTTCATCCTTCCCAGAGGCAGGAGCAGGTCAGAGGCAGGACTATACCTGGGTCAGAAGCTATACACCAGTCGACCTTCACCTCCGCCAGGATAGTTCCTGGTCTTCCTCCCACCAGACCCATGCTGCTCGACCCTCCACCATATATACACACACACTTGTAGCTAGTATAATAATGATACATAAGTATCACAACCATCTATGCTTGATGTGTTCGGTGTAGCAAGGCAGCCAGGTCCTAGTCAATAACAGATACACTAATGGATATGCTGAAGAGATCATCAAAAGGAAGGTGAGGCGCCGTATGCAACCTCAGACAAGGCAGACAACAGCACGCTACCGGTCTGGATAATTAAAATATTCTACAGTAACTTCTCCACGGCCCACACAACGGAAGAGAGAGTCCTGAAGAACCCGACCGTTCTTCAGTCACCCCATCACTATTGATAGAAATGTGAACCCAACCGACGCCGGTTAGAAGTAGTAGTAGGAATCCATCAGTCTAACTTTGAAGACTGAATTAATAATATAGACCAAGAAGAATGCCAACTTGCTCATGAAATACAACCCCTTGAAAGAGATGAATGTTGTCTTTGCCTTCAAATGCCTGCCCCGGTGACTGTCAGAACTGACGATCTCAGTACATATAGACATTAAACAACAACATCTCTCAAGGCGTGTGACAATGCACGATCAGTAAGGCCCCACCAAGGAACGTGTGGTCTCGACACACAACCACGTCATCACAAGAGATATCCTGTCAACACTGAAATAATCGACAGGTACAACGACAATAGAAGGTTGGCCACTGGTGAGGCGCCACACATCAAACACACCCAGCCACCCGACACTGGGTTACACTCTGCCATCTTAGAGACCGAGACGAAACACCCAATATGGCGTCCCGGCCATCACTGTAACACAGGAGACTGGTAAACTGCTGTGGATCTGTTGGCTTACGTGCCACTTCACCTCACTCTCCGTTATATATTCAACTGCTCCAACTAAATTGTAATTACGGGCTATTCATGCCCGTGCCACCTCTTGGGTGGCTAAATCTTCATCAATCAATCAATCTAAATTGTACACGGGAGACATCTCCCGTCACGCAGGGTGCAGTCGCACCTCCACAGATCTCCAGTATCATCTATTGATACTGGTAATGGCTCAAAAGGGCCTCCACTTACGGGCTATTCATGCCCGTGCCACTTTTTGGGTGGCTTAATGTCCATCAATCAATCAATCTAAATTGTATCATTAACAAGAGTTCTACTAAATTGTATCAACTTCTACTGGGCCAACGAAACGCATTTCTTAGCGTCAGGCCATAATTAAATTGTAAAATGAAATTTGGAGAGTTAATTTTTCAATTTCCTTCTCAAGTGAAGAATAATATAAGAAATAGAGAATTGATTTGTGGTGAAATGTTTGCTCTCAACCTTTCTGTCATATTCAGTGATACAAACACAGGTAATTAAACAGTCGTGTTGAGTACTGAAGCTGTGACATTGTTGTTATCATGACTGTATAAGGGCTCTGGTTCACTCTTCACATGTCCAACCACTTGGGCTGGACGGTAGAGCGACGGTCCCGCTTCATGCAGGTCGGCGTTCAATCCCCCGACCATCTAAGTGGTTGGGCACCATTCCTTCCCCCCGTCCTATCCCAAATCCTTATCCTGACCGCTTCCTAGTGCAATACAGTCGTAATGGCTTGGCGCTTTCCCCTGATAGTTCCCTTCCCTCTTCACATGTCACGTCTTCATACTAACACGAGCGCCTCTGTGGCGTGAGTGTATTTACTATTTGTATCTGTAGAATCGAGCTATTAGCTCTTGGACCCCACCTTTCTAACCAATCTATTTTCCTTTATTATATCTACTTCATATATTTTTCTCTAACACACACCCACACACACATACACACATCCCCAGGAAACAGCCCGTAGCAGCTGTCTAACTCCTAGGTACCTATTTACAGCTAGGTAACAAGGGGCATTAGGGTGAAAGAAACTCTGCCCATTGTTTCTCGCCGGCGCCCGGGATCGAACCTGGGACCACCACGCTTCCAGCGTGCTGTCCACTCAGCCACCGGCCCCCGTAGGCCCCCCGTAGTGTGTGTGTGTGTGTGTGTGTGTGTATGTGTGTGTGTGTGTGTGTGTGTGTGTGTGTGTGTGTGTGTGTGTGTGTGTGTGTGTGTGTGTGTGTGTGTGTGTGTGTGTGTTTTGTATTTGCAGCTGCATTATAAAGTAAAGGAAGCTGCGTTATCTTTCGCTAACCAATAATTCGTCTCCTTCTCATAGTCTAGAGAAGGAAACATGAAGGGTATTGTCGTGGGCATTAATCAGCTTGTTATCTCGGATATAATTGCAGGGGGGGGGGGACTTCGTATACCATTGTTACTCCCTCTACTGCTAATAGAGCTCTCGTTATTGCTGTCACTGTTGATACAGCTGCTCTCGTTACTGCTGTCACTGTTGATACAGCTGCTCTCGTTACTGCTGTCACTGTTGATACAGCTGCTCTCGTTACTGCTGTCACTGTTGATACAGCTGCTCTCGTTACTGCTGTCACTGTTGATACAGCTGCTCTCGTTACTGCTGTCACTGTTGATACAGCTGCTGCCGTTACTGCTGTCACTGTTGATACAGCTGCTGCCGTTACTGCTGTCACTGTTGATACAGCTGCTGCCGTTACTGCTGTCACTGTTGATACAGCTGCTCTCGTTACTGCTGTCACTGTTGATACAGCTGCTCTCGTTACTGCTGAAACTGTTGATACAGCTGCTCTCGTTACTGCTGTCACTGTTGATACAGCTGCTGCCGTTACTGCTGTCACTGTTGATACAGCTGCTGCCGTTACTGCTGAAACTGTTGATACAGCTGTTGCCGTTACTGTTGATACAGCTGCTGCCGTTACTGCTGTCACCGCTAACACAGTTGTGCTGCCGTACTGTCATACTCACACTCGCTGCCTCACCTTCATTAATCCGCATACTTGACTAACATTTCTCCTAACATGAGCATATCCCGAATTTTTGCTGCTTACACCCAACATCACATCTTGCACTATGTTGCAGCCGTAATCATTGCTACTATACCAACTATATCTAGAACTGTTGGTATAATTCCAATTCCAAGACCTTCCATCACTGCTGTTGCTTGTACCGCTTCTCTTTTACGTCTAATGATGCAACAGCTAATTACGTGTAATTAATGCTAATTACATTATGGTCTAGAGTCTCTTCAACTCTCAGTATTATTGCATCTTCTAATGCCACAATATTGCCAACACGAGCGTGGCTCACGCTACATCTTCTCCTCCATTGTTTCTCTTGACACCCTCAACATTATCCACTTTCCCATCAATTGCCTCACCACAGAGAAGTCTGCCTCTGCCTCCACCGGCTCCTCCCACTACCGCGGGTACATGCATTAATTGCTCACGCCTCTTCAGTTAGTAATGGGCTAAAGAGATAGAGACGTATTACTGATAATCTCCGGCACGACTGAAGAAATGATTTGCGTATATTCCTTGTCCGCCCACTATGGTCTACGGTCACGTTTAGGCGTGACCTCTGCGCCACGGAGCAGGAAGGCGCATCACGGTGGCCATGGCTTGAGCCCGGCGTCAGCTTCCAGCAGTCACCGAGGCAACAGTGCCATTTTGCTAAGGTGCTGTGAGGGGGCTGCAGTCATCCTTGACCACCTTAAACTGCCAGACTTGCCATGAGGCAGAAAAGTACTACTCCTGGTACTTTTTTGCCAATAAGGCCGGACGCCGTGGGCCACAAAGCCCAATACTGGTGCTGTTAGCATAAGAGGAATACTGACCATCGACTTGAGAATGGTCCAGGACGGACCGAAACGTCGTCGTCCCTTCACATTCTAGTGTGTGGTCTGGTCAACATACTTTAGCCACGTTATTGTGACTCATCGCCTGCATACGAGGAATACCATTTTCGGGAAGTTTTTTACCAATAGAACTGACCAGAGGCGTGGCACTGTCATACCTGGCACTGTTACCTAACACTACGAGCCACGAGGCAACATAATACCACACTTGGTGCCTATATCCATGCTTTCTCAGACACATCACAAAGTAGCTGTAGAAAAGGACATCACAATAATAGGATTTCCTTGTGTAGTTTCCCAATGAGACAATCACTGGAGCAGGACGGAGATCAAATCAGCATCTTGGTTCACCCCAGATGAATACTTTAGTTCACCCCAGATGCATACTTTATAACGGCTTAACCCATAGACCAAGACATGCTAAAAGTAATTTAACCTTGGATCCGCCCGAATCCACTCCAATCCGATCCACAATCCCGAATTGGATCGGGGCACGAAGGTCCCGAATTTTGATCTGTCAGGGGAAAGGGCTAAGCCATTACGACTATATAGCACTGGAAAGGGGGTCAGGGATAAAGATTTGGGATGGGAAAGGAATAGTGCCCAATCACTTGGACGGTCGGGGATTGAACGCCGACCTGCATGACGCGAGACCGTCGCTCTACCGTCCACCCCCAAGTAGTTTGAAGGCCCCGAGCTAGTACCAATAAATACCAAGTACAGTTGTTGTTGTTATTTTGCCAGATTTATGAGGTTGTTAGGGATAAAG